TCCTCCTCCTCCTCCTCCTCGCCCTCCTCCTTCCTCCTCCTCATCCTCCCCTCCCTCCTCCTTCCTCTCCTCCCCTCCTCCTCCTCCTCCTCCTCCTCAACCCCTCCCCTCCTCTCCTCCTACCTCCTCCTCTCCGCCTACTCCTACTTCCTCCCTCCTCCTTCCTCTCCCACCCCTTCCTCCTCCTCCACCTCCTGCCTCCTCTTCCTCCCCCCCCTACACTACTCCCCCCCCCCTCCTAATCCTCCATCCTCCTCCTCCCCCTCCTCCTCCTCCTCCTCCTCCTCCTCCTCCTCCTCCTTATCTTCCTACTTCTCCCCCTCCTCCTCCGTCTCCTCCTCCTCGAGTCCTTCTCCTCATCCCCCCCTCCTCCTCCTAGTCCTTCTCCGCCTATCCTCCTTCTCTTCCTCCTTTTCCTCCTCCTTCTCCTCCTCCTCCTCGCCCTCCTCCTCCTTCCTCGTGTTTGGGCCGCCTCTTTTTTTGTTTCATCGTTTGACCTTCTCTCCTCGATCCCACTCCTCGTTCCCTGGGCAATCGCATGGGCGCCGAGGCGGGGGGGGGGGGCAGCAGACACGGGGGGGTCAGAGCGGGAGGCGCGGGGGCGGAGGGCGGGGGTGGAAGGGGGGGAGAGGGAGGGGGATGGGGAAGAGGGGGGAGGAGAGGTTGTTTTTCTTCCTGTTTTTTATCCGAAAGCCTCGCGCGCAGATCCGAAACAACAAAAAGCACCACAAAAACAAACGCCATGCGTCGCGCGACGCCGCGGCACCGCTCGGCGGCACCTCGACGTCGGACGCCGCCACCGCGCGCAACGAGAGTCGCAACGCCGCGATATAGCAGCGCCGCGACGACGCGCGCTCTCGAAAAACCGCCACCGCAATATATATATATATATATATATATATATATATATATATATCACTTACAGCTGCATTTTTTTGCAGCTTGGTGATGTAAACTGCAGCTAAGCATCCGCCGCATAAACTGCAGCTTGAGAACCTCAGGGAACCGGCGCCCTCGCTTGAGACATCCTCACAAAACCGGCCCCGGGGGAGGTGCCCAGAGGAGCCCAGAGCGGCCTCCGGCACCGTTTCCGGACAGATCCGGTGGATCCGCTGGATCCGGTGACGAATCCCAAACCGGCGCCCTCGCTTGAGACATCCTCACAAAACCGGCCCCGGGGGAGGTGCCCAGAGGAGCCCAGAGCGGCATCCGGCACCGTTTCCGGACAGATCCGGTCAGATCCGGTGACGGAATCCCAAAAACCGGCCGCTCTCGCTTTTTTTGGCTGATTTTTTTTTGAGTTCGTGTTTTTTTATGTGTTTTTTTTGAGATTTGTTTTTGAGTTCATTTTTTTTGACGTCTTTTTTTTTTTTGTTTGATTTTTTGTTGTGTTTTTTCTTTTTTTTTTTTTGATTTTTGAGGTTTGTGAGACATCCTCACAAAACGGGCCCCGGGGGGGATGCCCAGAGGAGCCCAGAGCGGCCTCCGGCACCGTTTCCGGACGGATCCGCTGGATCCGCTGGATCCGCTGGATCCGCTGGATCCGGTGACGAATCCCAAACCGGCGCCCTCGCCTGAGACATCCTCACAAAACGGGCCCCGGGGGGGATGCCCAGAGGAGCACAGAGCGGCCTCCGGCACCGTTTCCGGACGGATCCGCTGGATCCGCTGGATCCGGTGACGAATCCCAAACCGGCGCCCTCGCCTGAGACATCCTCACAAAACGGGCCCCGGGGGGGATGCCCAGAGGAGCCCAGAGCGGCCTCCGGCACCGTTTCCGGACGGATCCGCTGGATCCGCTGGATCCGGTGACGAATCCCAAACCGGCGCCCTCGCCTGAGACATCCTCACAAAACGGCCCCCGGGGGGGATGCCCAGAGAGCCCAGGAGCGGCCTCCGGCACCGTTTCCGGACAGATCCGGTGGATCCGGTGACGAATCCCAAACCGGCGCCCTCGCTTGAGACATCCTCACAAAACCGGCCCCGGGCGAGGTGCCCAGAGGAGCCCAGAGCGGCTTCCGGCACCGTTTCCGGACAAATCCGGTGGATCCGCTGGATCCGGTGACGAATCCCAAACCGGCGCCCTCGCTTGAGACATCCTCACAAAACCGGCCCCGGGGGAGGTGCCCAGAGGAGCCCAAGCGGCCTCCGGCACCGTTTCCGGACAGATCCGGTGGATCCGCTGGATCCGGTTACGAATCCCAAACCGTGCTCTCGCTTGAGACATCCTCACAAAACTGGCCCCGGGGGAGGTGCCCAGAGGAGCCCAGAGCGGCCTCCGGCACCGTTTCCGGACAGATCCGGTGGATCCGCCGACAAATCCCAAACCGGCGCCCTCGCTTGAGACATCCTCACAAAACCGGCCCCGGGGGAGGTGCCCAGAGGAGCCCAGAGCGGCCTCCGGCACCGTTTCCGGACAGATCCGGTGGATCCGCTGGAATTTCCGTGACGAATCCCAAACTCGGCGCACTAGTTGAGACAATACTATCACACAAACAAACGGGCCCGGGAGGAGGTGCCCAGAGGAGTCCAGAGCGGCCTCCGGCACCGTTTCCGGACAGATCCGGTGGATCCGCTGGATCCGGTGACGAATCCCAAACCGGCGCCCTCGCTTGAGACATCCTCACAAAACCGGCCCCGGAGGAGGTGCCCAGAGGAGCCCAGAGCGGCCTCCGGCACCGTTTCCGGACAGATCCGGTGGATCCGGTGACGAATCCCAAACCGGCGCCCTCGCTTGAGACATCCTCACAAAACCGGCCCGGGGGAGGTGCCCAGAGGAGCCCAGAGCGGCCTCCGGCACCGTTTCCGGACAGATCCGGTGGATCCGGTGACGAATCCCAAACCGGCGCCCTCGCTTGAGACATCCTCACAAAACCGGCCCCGGGGGAGGTGCCCAGAGGAGCCCAGAGCGGCATCCGGCACCGTTTCCGGACAGATCCGGACAGACCCGGTGGATCCGCGCCCCGGGGGAGGTGCCCAGAGGAGGAATGAGGAGGAGGAGGAGGAGGAGGAGGAGGAGGAGGAGGAGGAGGAGGAGGAGGAGGAGATGATGGAGCTGCGGGGTGGAGGAGGACAGACGGAGGCAAGAGAAGGATGGAGGAGGAGGAGGAGGAGGAGGAGGAGGAGGAGGAGGAGGAGGAGGAGGAGGAGGAACCTCATCCTCACCCTCGCCAACAAGCGCACGCACCTTATTCTATATACAGAAACTCCCGATCAACCGCAGAGCGGCCGGCTAGTAACAGCCATCGCGGCCCGATTACGCTCGGCGCGAAAAACACAGTGCGTAACCACGGCCTAGCGGGCGGGGGCCCCTGGGCATCGACCAGCGGATGCGGGGGCGTTTTTTTGGTCGATTCTGTTTTTGGGTTTTCCCTTATTTATTGGGTTTTCTGTTCTTTTTTTTTGGCGCCCCACGCGGAATGCACCCGTGCGACCAAACATCGGGTGAATCGCGCCCCTGATCCGGCCCGCGAGGGCGCAGATACGGAGATGCCCGCCTCTCCAGGGTACCGCGCTGGAGCGGGGCACGAAGGGAGTCCAGGCATGGCACCGTGGAGGGGCAATGGTTACGTAAGGGACGGGGCAGACGGCCTCCTCCTCCTCCTCGTCATCCTCCTCCTGCTCCTCGTGTCCCTCCTCGTCCTCCTCGTCGTCCTCCTCTTCCTCCTCCTCATCCTCTTCCTCCTCCTCTTCCTCCTTACTGTGCAGAGGGGCGGTCCGATGGCCTCGCACGCGCTCCCAGCGCAGGAGGGAGCCGCTGGGCATCGGAGTGGCTCCGCCCCACCGCACCCACCACATCCACAGGATCAGCACGAGGAGGAGGGGAACCAGTCCGACCGAGCGAAGTTTGGCTGGCAGCCGGTGCGTCCCCCCCCCCCCGGGAGCAACCGCTGCCCGGTCTGGGCCCGAACAGCGGTCGCTCCCTGAGGGAGGGATTGCGCCAGCCAGTCGCGCTGAGGTGTCCTGTAAGCCGCAGGTGAAGATGGTGTAGGCCCGCACCAGCTCCCGCGGATGCTGCTGGCCCTCGGGCAGAGATCTCGCACCCCCGACGTCGTACTTTTCACAACACGGGCCCCAAATTTCTTGACCCCTTCCCCCGGAGTGGGCTTTCACCCCGAATATGTTTTTTGGTCCTGGGGCCTGAGAGCCCCGAGAGACCGAACATCGCCAGAAACTTTCCGTCGAGATTTCTTCGCGCCGCAAGGAGGTCATGGGTTCCTCATCCCCAGACTTCCAGCGCTCCAACTTTTCGATGCCTGAGCCCCTGGAGGCCTGGACCACCTCCGCAGGGCGGGCTTTGCATCCTGAGTCATGCTCGACGGCTCCGGGGGTCCGCTGAGGGCCTCCACATGTCGCAAGCAGCCCAAACTGACCGTCCCGTTTTTCTTGGCAGAGTCTTGGATCTCCCAGTTATCCTTCGCCCGGTTGCGTACGCGTGCGAGCGACCTCTCGCCGGGGATGGCCCTCAGAGCGGGCCCTCTGAGATCCCTTCCGCACTGGCCTGCGCGCTGGGATGTGGCTTCCCCGCGGCCCCCACAAGTCGGAGGTCGATCGACCTCCTACCCTGACGTGTCGGTTCGTGACTTGGCCGTTCTCGGTTCGCGAGAGGGCGTCGCGGCCGTTGTTTTTGCGGGTCCAGGTCCGTCGGTTTCGGTCCTAGGCCGTTTTCACTAGAAAGGGTGAGTATTGCCAACCCAACCCGAAGGCTTCAACCCCGCCCACCCCAACCCGAAGGCTTCAATTTGCGCCCATTTCAGTGGGGTGGGGCTTCGGGGAAGACTGCAAAAACACATGGAACCCTTCCCCCCCCCCAACCCGACATTCGGGTCGAATTCGGGTCTTCGGGTTGGGTTGGGGTGGTCTGGTAGGTAGCCGCATAAAGCCGCGCATCAAGGGTCGCTTCTGCTTAGGGTCCCGGCTGCGTGTAGCCCACCCACCTGGTTGGGCGTTGCTCCGGCGAGGCCACTCGTGCATGGGGCCGGCACGGCCCGCCGGGCGAGGTGCAACCACGCCGTCGAGCCGGGCAGCGGCGCCCCGCGCCCGCCGGACCCCCAGCGCGAGGGCACAGACGTCGTGGGCATCTCGTTTGGCATCCGCGAGCGGGACCCCTGGTCGGAGGGGGGGCAGCGCGCAGGGGAGGGGGGGGGGGAACGGAGGAGGAGCACGAGGAGGGGAAGCCCGAGGTGGAGCAGGAGGGGGATCAGTGTCAGGAGGAGGAGCAGCGGAAGCAGGGTCACGAGGAGCAGGGAGTCAGGAAGCAGCACAGGGCGGGACCCATGGTCCGAAGGGATGGGAAGCAGTTGGGTGCGGCAGTCCGGCCAACCCGTCCTGGAACCCTCCTGAGGAAGGTTTTAGGAAGGTTCTTCCAAACAAACCCTCCCGAGGAAGGTCGGTGGAAGGTTTTACAAAGGTGATTCAAACAAAAAGCCCTCCAGAGGAAGATGTTTGGAAGGTTTTAGGAAGGTTGTTCCACGCATAAACCTCCTGAGGAAGGTTATTGGAAGGTTTTAGGAAGGTTCTTCCAGAAAAGCCTTCTTGAGGAAAGTCCTTGGAAGGTTTTAGGAAGGTCCTTCCCCACTTTTGCGAGGAAAGTCTTTGGAAGGTTGTAGAAAAGGTTCTTCCCAAAAACCTTCCTGAGAAAAGGTTTTCGGAAAATGTTTCAAAAGAACCTTCCTGGGGAAGGATTCGGGGGAAGGCTTTAGGAAGGCTCTTCCAACAAGACCCTCCTAAGGAAGATTTTCGATAGGTTCTTCCAAGAAGCCTTCGTGAGGAAAGTGATCAGAAAGATTTCGGATGTCTCTTTTATATATATATATATATGTATATATATATATACATATATATAACGTTCCTGAGGCAGGTTCTTGGACGGTTTTAGGAAGGTTCTTTCAAACAAACCCTCTGGAGGACATTTTCGGAAGGTTCTTGAGAGGCTCTTCCAAACAAAAACCTCCAGAGGAGCGATTTTAAAAAGGTTTTAGGAAGGCTCTTCCCAACAATCCTCCCGAGGAAGGTATTCGGAAGGCCCTTCCAACCAAATACTTTCCCGAGGAAGCTTCTTGGAAGGTTTTAGGAAGGTTCTTCCCACACAAAACATCACGAGGAAGGTTTCTTTGAGGTTTTAGGAAGGTTTTTCAACAAGCCTTCCCGATTCAGGATTTTTGGAAGGTTGTTGGAAGGTTATTCAAATTTTGATCTAGAAACACATTGCGGAGGAAGGTTTTAGGACGGTTTTTCCAAAACACCTCTCTGAGGAAGGTTGTTTGGGAGGTTTTACCAAGGTTCTTCCAAACAAACTTTCTCGGGAAAGCGTTTTTGGAAGGTCTTTTGGCAGTTCTTCCAAAAGACCTTCCTGATGAAGGTCTTCGGAAGGGTTTACGAAGGTTCTTCTCACAAAAATCATCATGAGGAACGTTCTTGGAAGGTTTTAGAGGAGTTCTTCCTTAAAAACCTTCGGGGGAAAGGTTTTTGAACGGTTTTAGGAAGGCTCTTTCAACAACCTTCCCGAGGGTGGGGGCTTGGGAGGTGTAAGAAAAACTCTTCCCCAACAAACCTCCAGAGGATGGTTACTGAAAGGTTTTAGGACGGCTCAACCAAAACAAACCTTCCTCAGGAAAGTTGTTGGGAGATTTTAAGATGGCTCTTCCAAACAAAGTTTTCCAGAGGGAGTGTTCGGAAGGTTCCAGGAATGTTCTTCCAACAAGAACCTTCTGGAGGAAAGTGTTTGGAAGGTGTCGGGAAGGTTATGTAATCGCTTCGCTCATTCCGCCGGCCCATACTGTCGCACCGTGGTCGCCTGTCCGAGTGGTCGTTTGCAGTGTGGAGCTGCGGCGTCGGGAGCTGTGTAGTTGTCGATAAATTTGTTGATGTTATTTCAAGGCGCTTCTGGGTGTTTGCAGTTTTTGACGGCTTTGGTGCCATCGTGGGGGCGTGTTACCCGTGGTATCCCGCTGTGGGGCCGTTCGAGCCGGGGGAAGAGACATTTTATGCGATAGGGGAACCCTTGGGTCCTCTTGGGTCATCTTGGAGGAGGAGGCGGAGGAGGAGGAGGAGGAGGAGGACGGGAGGAGGACGGGAGGAGGACGGGAGGAGGACGGGAGGAGGAGGAGGAGGAGAAGGAGGAGGAGGAGAAACGACAAGGAGGAGGAGGGAGGAGGAGGAGGAGGAGGAGGAGGAGGAGGAGAGGGAGGAGGGCGATGAGAAGCGATGAGGGGGCGCCTCTGCAGTCGTGATTTGCCGTCCATTTTGCATTGGGGGGAGGAGGTGAAGGAGAGGGGGGGGGAGGGAGGAGGAGGAGGAGGAGGAGGAAGGAGCAGGAGGAGGAGGAGAAGGAGGACAGGAGGAGGAGGAGGAGGAGGAGGAGGAGGAGGACGAGAAAGAGGAGGACGAAAATTAGGAGGGAGGAGGGGATGAGGAGCGATGAGGGGCGCCTTTGTCGTCGGATGTCGTCCATTCTGAATGGGAGGAGGAGGAGGAGGAGGAGGAGGAGGAGGAGGAGGAGGAGGACGACGAGGAGGAGGACGACGAGGAAGAGGAGGAGGAGGAAGAGGAGGAGGAAGAGGAGGAGGAGGAGGATGAAGGAGGAGGGGGGTGAGGAGCGATGAGGAGCGCCTTTGTTGTCGTCGTCGTCGCCGCCGCCGCCGCCCGCCGCCGCCGCCCGCCGGCGTCGTCGTCGTCGTCGTGGAGGGTGGAGGCTCGAGGCTGGAGGCCGAACGCGGGGGAGGAGGACCACCCCGACCCGCGCTTCCCAAGTCGCGTCTGGCTGGAGTCTTGCATGCGTCCTGGGGGCCTCCGGAGGGTTTTTTGGAGGCCTCCAGAGGGCCTTTTGGAGGCCTCTTCAGGCCGCTTGAGGGGCTCTTGGGGGCCTCTTGGGGCCTTTGGGGGCGTCTTGGGGCCTCCCGGGGGCCTCTAAGGGCCGAGACCTCGAAATTCTGTTTCGTGAAGCCCCTCTTGGGGCGTTCTTGAAGCGTTCTTGGGGCCCTCCTGGGCCGTCTTGGAGGCCTCTTGGGCCGTCTTGGAGCCGCCTTGGGCCATCTTGGAGCCCTCTTGGGGGCCTCTTGGGCCCTCTTGGGGCGATCTTGGAGGCCTCTTGAGCCGTTTAGGGGCGTCGGGGAACCGAAAATGTTGAAACGCCCCAATCTGTCTAAAACCGATGGAGAAGCATTGTTTGTGTGCCTCTCGGGGCCCTCTTGGGAGTGCTCCTGGAGGCCTCTTGGGGCATCTTGGAGGCTTCTTGGGTCATCTTGGAGACGTCTTGGGCCGTCCGGAGGCCATCTTGGGCGTCGTGGAGCGATATTCGGGCGTCTCGGACCTCTCTTGGACCGTGTTGGGGGCGTTCTTGGGGCCCTCTTGGGCCGTCCTGGAGGCCTCTGGGGCCGTCTTGGAGCCGTCTTGGGCCGTCTTGGGGCCCTCTTGGGGGCCTCTTGGGCCCTCTTGGGGCGATCTTGGAGGCCTCTTGAGCCGTTTAGGGGCGTCGGGGAACCGAAAAGGTTAAAACGCCCAAATCTGTCCAAAACCAAAGGAAAAGCACAGTTTTTTGCCTCTTGGGGCCCTCTTGGGAGTTCTCTTGGAGGCCTCTTGGGGCATCTTGGAGGCTTCTTGGGCCATCTTGGAGACGTCTTGGGCCGTCCGGAGGCCATCTTGGGCGTCGTGGAGCGATCTTCGGGCGTCTCGGACCTCTCTTGGACGTGTTGGGGGCGTTCTTGGGGCCCTCTTGGGCCGTCTTGGAGGCCTCTGGGGCCGTCTTGGAGCCGTCTTGGGCCGTCTTGGGGCCCTTTTGAGGGCCTCTTGGGCCCTCTTGGGGCGATCTTGGAGGCCTCTTGAGCCGTTTAGGAGCGTCGGGGAACCGAAAAGGTTGAAACGCCCAACTCTGTCCAAAACCTAAGAATAAACATTGATGATGTTTGCCTCTTGGGGCCCTCTTGCCAGTGCTCCTGGAGGCCTCTTGGGGCATCTTGGAGGCTTCTTGGGTCATCTTGGAGACCTCTTGGGCCGTCTGGAGGCCATCTTGGGCGCCGTGGAGCGATCTTCGGGCGTCTCGGACCTCTCTTGGATTGTGTTGGGGGCCTCTTGGGGCCCTCTTGGGGCGATCCTGGAGGATCTGGGGGGGTGTCCCGGGCGTGTCTCGGGTGTGTCCCGGGCTCCTCTCGGGGTACTTTTGATCGGGTGTGTCCCGTCCAGGGACCCCCAGGGGCCGCCCCGCGCGCGCGAACCAGAAATATTGAAATACTGTTTACCAGTTACCGTTGATCTTAGCACGCCTCTGGCCCGTTGGGCCAGCGAATTTTCAAAAAACCTTCCAGAGGAAGGTTTCTGGAAGGTTTGAGGAAGGCTCTTCCCAAAAACCTTCATCAGGAAGGTCCATGGAGGTTCTTCAAGAAAAAACCTTCCCTATGAAGGTTTTCGTAAGATTTTAGGAAGGTTCTTCCAATAAAACCATCCTGCGGAAGGTTTGCCGGATGTTTTGGGGGGATCTTCCAAAAAAACAATCCTGGGGATGGTTTCGCGCAGGTTTAGGAAAGTTCTTACAGAACAACCTTCTTGAGGAATGTTTTCGGAAGGTTTTAGGGAGGTTCTTCAAAAATGCCTTCCCGAGGAAGGTTTCTGGAATAGCTTTAGGAAGGTTCTTCCAAAACACCATCCGGGGGACAGTTGTTGGAAGGTGTTACGACGGCTCTTTTTTGTAAAAGAAACTTCCGATGAAGGTATTTTGAAGGTTTTAGGAACCAAAAACCTCCAAACACACACGCACACAGGAGATCTATGACTTTCTCTTACAGCCTTTTCGATACCGATGGGCCGCTGAGGCCTCAAGCTCCCCCCCAAGATGCCCCAAGACGCCCCCCAAAAAAGCGCCCAACAGGCCCCAAGAAGCCCCACGACGATCCCAGCGGCGGCCCAAAGTCGCTTCCGGGAGGGGTCGGACAGCCGTTCAGGCGGCCTCGGGACCGCCCCCCGTCCCCCCCCCGACGGCTTCCAGGGGTTCGGACGGCTCGTCCTGCTCGTCCTCGTGCCCTCCCCCTCCTCCTCCCATGCCCCGCTCCGCTACACCTAAACCCAGACACCCGACAACATGATTTTTTCATGACGTCGACCCACAGACCCATTCCCC